GTCGTGTTTGCCACTGTTTGGGGGTTGGGGAGGGTTTTGTCGGGGTGGCTGACAAATGCAACAGAGGTGAACTACACACACGACGAAACGAGTACAAGACTGAAAGTATAAACACAATTTTTCACACTCATTGAGTCATTCTCCATCATCTGCAAGTCTGCAAGAAACAATCATTGCACAAGTTTTGAAAGTGTAACATTACAGGCAAACGAAAGAACACGGCGAAACAGCTGCGCTGTACACACACAACAATAAAAGACACATGCACGCTGGACTCAGTCAAATGGTGTGCGAAAGAACTGTCGAATCGTCAGAAACATTGATACAAAAATAACAGGAGAAACAAAAAATGAAACTGTGAGCACTGCACCTGCTGAGCCCGTGTCTGAAGAAATACTAAAAAAAGTGCAATCCTCTACAACATCGATGATAAAATAAAACAAGAAACAAAAACAAACTGCACCCGTGCATGGAAATAGTATACAATAGTCTAACCACCTATACAAATACAAATGCAGTCATGACGACCTGCACAGACCACTCCTACGGACACAAGGCCTCGTCTCAAGCACTACAGACTACTCCTACTAACACAAGGCCTCGTCTCAAGCACTAAATATATTGTACATTACTACGAATCAGAGGATGAAAGAAGACTAATGGTGGAACTATGCATCATCGTCGTCCACAATGTCCTTCCTCCTCCTCTGCGGCACCACACCTGTCACACCATCCCCACGACCTGTGCCGCCTGTCGGCGCGTGCGTAGTATCCGGAGCATGAATCTCCCCCTGTGACGCCGCCTCAACCCCTCCCTGTGGTCGAAGAAGATCGTACACGGAAACCCTCCTCCGCTGGCCATAAGGCATCTCCAAATCGTCTGTACCAGACTCCCAAACGACTGGCGCCTGTGACGGTCGCTGCGCTGTCGCTGCCCTCACATCCTCCCGCAATATACGTGCAGCCATGCTCCTCCCGGGGGGCACACTGTGCTCAACATGGTCGCCGGTGCCCGCTGTACGCCCTGCAGTATGTGGCAACGTCGCCTCAGCAGGTGCACTCATGGGCTGATCCGTCGCTCGGTCGGAGACCCTCTCCTGCCATCCTGCTGCGTCAGCGACAACGTCCCCGCTCAAAATCGCCCGTGTCCGCGGATGTAAACCGGCCAACCCAGGCTGACTTGCCCGCATCGTCTGCGTCACTCTCCTCACGATACTAAGACTTTTCCCTGCTCTCATCTTCTTCTTCCGTGACTGAGGAGAAGGAGACTCCCCGGCGGGAGTCGGCGAGGGGCCCCGTACCGCCTCTGCCGCGACTGTGCCCTCCACATATGCGGGTGTGTTGACACCTGTGGTGGACGATGGCACTGACGGGCTGCAAGCCGGGGCCTCTGCCATCAGTCTCCTCGACGCCTCGGTCATCCGCCCCCGGCGATCTGCCTACAACGGGTCCTCCCGTGCCTGTCGCTCCAACTCCCCCGCCGACATGGCCCCACCGAGAGGCAATACACAAACACCCTGAACTGGCGACGCAGGTCTCTCGCCCGCATCCCCTATGCCCGCAGCGCCGCACTCGCCCTCTGCATCAGCTGCCTCAACGCCCGTCTCGAGCATCCGCGCTACACGTGCCCTCAATGCAATACTCTGTGTCATCTCGCAGCGGCTAGCCAACCCCTGTGCCCTCCTCCTCTCCTCGCGGTCGATCCTATCCTGCTCTTACTCTGTCGCCCGCTCCTGCATAGGTCGACACTCCCCATCATCCCCAGCTGCACGGTCGTGCTGCCCCGACCGACCCGGTGCCCGCTCTGCTGCCTCCTGCAACATGCTACTACTGATGTCGCCCGTGCTGCATGAAGGTATGTCACGAAGTATCTGACTGACGGGCGTCGCCGCTGCGTCCACATCGACACCGACACGTTCCCCTGCCGGTGTCGGAGGATGCCCTAACGAAACATAAAAAATGTTGTCGCTGTAACTGACACCCACCTGTGCAAATGGCCTCCCAACCTCTCCAGCGTTGCCACTACCACCCGCAAACCCGCCTGGACCCTCCGCAGACGCCGTTGCGCCCTCTGCAGACGCCACAGCGAACTCTGCAGGGGAGGGAGCAACCTCCATAGGGGAGGGAGCAACCACAGCTGCCTCAGCGGGCCTCTCCTCATCAACCCAATGCACAGTGCGAGTGGACGATGCAGACTCTCGCCTTACTTTTCCTGTGCCAGCACGCCCTGCACCACCTGTGCGCCTTGCACCCCCAACACCCGGCCCGCTGCCTCCCCTGCCTGCACCACTGCATCGGTCGCGAGGACGCAGAATCTGGATGAGAGGAGCGTCGTCGTCATCGTCATTAGAACCTCCTGGCTCTAACTCCATGGCCAGGTCGTCCGGATCGGACCACGGCTCGGCCTCCATCGCGTCCTGAGCCATGGGATCAGGCTCGGGATCGTACACCGACTCCAACTCATGCGCCATGAGCACCGTGGCGCGACGACCGAAATACGTCGCGACGCTGAGAGGTGCCTTTGAAAGGCGATCCTTCCGCCCGCGCTGGACCTGCCTGTCGCGCTGTGCCTCGGTTACTCGGTCAGCCGGCCGAGCACCCTCATCACGAGGCGGAGGAATAGCTTCCTCTGTCTCCTCCTCAGTATCCTCCCATGGAAGAACGTACCCAGAACCCCTCCTCTGACAACGACTCAATCTCAAGTTGGTGGATATCTCCACCAAACGAGTCAGCTTGATGAAACCAAGCTGATTACGCCTCTTCACCTGAACACGCTCATGGACGGCCCAATTCCTCTCCGCCGGAGAGGCGCACGTCTATGTGTGCGACAAGCGAATGGCGATGCTCTGAAGGAGAGGGACCCGGTCCCTGTGCTGAACCCACCACTGCCCCACCTGTGACGTCTCCTTCTCCCCTTTGCAGGCGGCCGCATCCCTGTCTCCCTCGGCCCCTCCATACGTCCAATCGCCCTCCCGAGAATGAAACTCCGCCAGCTGCGTGCGCAACGTCTGATACAAATCCTCGTCACCACCAGTCTGTTGGCGAAGGTATCGCAACGACTCGTCTGCCAGTATCCGCTCGTGGTCGGTACGCCTCGCCGCTCCAAAAAAAGTAATGCTCCTCTGCCGCGGATTGAGGAGGTGGGCCATCCAATGTGCGGGCTCCAACATATGAGCGACCCGCCCCTGACAAGCCTGAACAACGATGTGGAGCTCGTCGTTCAACATCCTGTTAAGGCTTGCTCTCGCCACCCTGTTGACCATGACAAAACCCCACGACCACATGCGAGTCATCACGCGACGCCCCCTGTCCAGACGCCGTAGCAGCTGCATCACAGGCGTCATGAGCGCCACGATGTCCTTCACGTGCTCCCAGAATGGCGCGTACCGCACCTGATGACACACCCATCTGGCCTGCAGAAAAATGGACCTCCTCCATGCAGTCCGCAGCCAATCGTCGCTCATCATCAACGCCTCCAACGCTCTGCGACGGTCCAGCAACCTCTCCAACATCAAGTAGTGGGTGGCAAACCTCGTCTGCACAGGGTACACAAGCTCCCTGCCTCGCCGCTGAGACGAGGGTGGCGCAGAGCTCGAACCACCAGCCGCCGCGGAGGCGGAAGAGGGGTGGGCGGCAGAGAACCGTCGATAAAGGCTTAGAGCCGCCCCATGCTCTCTGATGAAACGCACGACAGCTCGAGCCCTGATGATGGTGTCCTCCCTCTTCCCGAGGCTCCCGTCGCGCCCATCCTTCGCGATGTCTGACAATAAGAAGTTGCAGACATGGACCGCACACGGAAGCGAAGTGATGCGGCTGTACTTGACTTCCTCCTGGGCGAGGAGCTTGGACGCAGCAACATACGCAGACCCGGAATCAGTACAAATGGCGTTCACCTTGTCGACACCAAACTTGTCGAACACGTCCTACGGCCATTCGAAAACCCTGACCACACAGCTTGCACTCCATGAGGAAATTGCCATTCGAATTCGGCATCGTCTGCCCCTTCGTAACCCACTTAAAGCCGTAAAACTTCAGCTTCGCCTCCCTCTGCTTGTCTTTACTGACCGGAACGAATGGCTGATCTCCCCTCCCTTTCTTGGGCGCCATTGTAGCCTTGCAGGTAGCCCACCGCCCACAGATTCCGGAGCGGAGCTCAGTGGACAGTGCCAAAGCCCGTCCTGCCCAGGCCTGTCCCCCTTC